GAAGCATACCACCCAGCACTGGAATTCTCCATGATGGTAGCCTATCTGAAACCAAATGATTGTGGAACTTCTACGTATGACCTTAGGAGATGCAACGTTCATGGAGTGCGTCGTTGGGTCGAGTCCCTGAATTATCCGGATCCCAAGTTGCCCATACTGAATGTCGAGTCTTTATTCTCTTCCTTCTGCAGTGAGCTTGGAAATTGCATACGCCTTCACTCCCCACTAAGGAAATCTACCAAATCGAATTTCCATCATTGGTTCAGCCCCGAGTTGAGACTCCTAATTGCTAGAAAGAAGGAGCTGCATAAAACTTATAAAAACTCTCTTAGTAACACCCACTATAATGACTTTAAGGAAGTCAGGCGTCAATGCAAATTGTTGACAAGAGCCTGTCATGAGAGCTACCTAAGAGAGATTGACACTTGCCTAAAGTCTGATCCCAAATCCTTTTGGAGGTATATTAAGTCGCTGTCCAAGAACAGTCCCTTTCCAAGCAAACTGCAGTTTGAGCAGGAATCTGCTGAGGAGCCTCAGGCTATGTGTGATGTCTTTGCTTCTTACTTTTCATCTGTCTACGCACAGCCTGATGGAGTTGTACCTCACTACAACCTCGAACCAAGCTTCAATGTTCCCGTGTGGCATATATCTGCTGTCGATGTTGAGAATTAATTACTGAAGCTGAACACTTCAAAGGGACCTGGTCCTGACAACATCCCACCGGCGGTTCTACGGTTCTGCGGATCAGCACTTGCTCCCCACCTATCTATTTATTTTAACCAACTTTTGCGAGCTGGCATCTTTCCTAATTCACTGAAGTCTGGTTTTCTTGTCCCCATTTTCAAATCTGGCACGACATCTGATGTAAAGAATTATAGACCAATTGTGATCCAGTCTGTGTTGGCTAAAATATTTGAAAGTCTGGTCCTTGATGTACTCTCCTTCACTTTCAAGAGTTACTTCATATCTGAGCAACATGGGTTTCGTCCTGGAAGGTCCACAATTACAAACCTGTGTGTCTTCTCGAACTTCGTGACATCTGCCTTCACACGTCTGCATCAGGTCGACTGTCTTTACCTGGATTTTGCTAAGGCGTTCGATCGAGTTAGCCATCTTCACCTCATTGCTAAGCTCGAAGCTCTCGGTATCGCTGGCCCTCTTCTTGCTTGGATTCTGAGCTACCTTACGGGAAGAACCTTACGTGTGAAATTTGCTTCATATTGCTCTAGGTCTACGGTACAAGTGACATCGGGTGTGCCTCAGGGTTCCTTATTAGGACCTTTCTTGTTCTGTATATTTATTAACGATATTGCAAAGCCTCTTGCATGCAAGTTCCTGATTTTTGCTGACGATGTTAAAGTTTTCACCGAGGTCACATCCACCCAACAACAAATTGAGCTCCAACAAGATCTGATGAAAATTGAAAATTGGTGTTTGGATAATTCCATGCAACTGAATGCAAAAAAATGTCAGGTGATGACTTTTGGAAGAACCAAAACGCTGCTGTCCTTCAACTACTATCTTCACGGTGCGCAACTGGATAGGACCCTATCGATTAAGGATCTTGGAGTTTATCTCACACCTTGCTTGGATCCTGGACTTCACATTGCGAAAATCTGTTCCAAAGCTAATTCTGTTCTTGGGTTGATAGCCCGGTCTTCTAGAGGTTCTCTATCTACAGCATCAGTGAAGGTCTTGTACAACTCTCTTGTCCGTCCCATCTTGGAGTATGCTTCTCCTGTGTGGTCTCCTTATCAGGTTGGCCACTGTAACTCCCTGAACATGGTCCAGAGGCGCTTTCTCCGGCTGCTTGGTGTAAGAGATGGCATTAACTACCTCGACGTGAACGTCCACTTGATTGCAGTAGACCACGGTGTGCTTTCACTTACATCACGAAGAGCCGCTTTTGATCTTCTACTACTCTTCAAGATCATCAATGGTCAGGTGGACAGTCCTGAACTTCTTGAACTGATTAACTTTCATGTCCCAGTCTCCACCCGGAGATCTCGACCCTTCTCCAAGCATCACCAGCCAACTGCCTACGCTTACCATAGCACAGTTCCCCGTTTACTTCGTCTGGGAAATGCAGCTCAACTGGAGTTCTTCGGGCCTTCCTTGCCACTCTTAAGGAGAGTAGTGTTTAAGTGGGCTGCTGACCAGATCCAGCTTTAGTCTTTGTGCTTTTGGTGGTGCCTCTAGAGGGCCACACTTCAAGTGCCACATGTGCAGTGAAGTGAGTGTGTTTTTGGTGGTGCCTCTAAAGGGCCACACAATCAGTGAGAGGAAGTGCCAACTGCCAAGCAATATTATTCTGTCAATTCAAGTTTTTCTTTTTGTCTGAGATTTATCACTGTATCGTTTTCATTCTTACTATTTTAATCCCTGTTAAATTTTTTTAAATCTTTATCAATTGTTGTTACTCCTTGTTGTTGTTTTTTATAGTTTTTAATGATATATTCCTTTCAATTATTTGTGTTATTTCTATTGTTGATTGATTATCTTCTCGAATATTAATATCTTGTAATATAATAATTTGTAATATAACGGGATTGTTATTTATTTATATTGTTATGTATTATTGTTATTTATTTTTATTGTTATTTATTGTTGATTTTTTTATCGATTGTCTTATTGATTTTGTGTTTAAACTGGAAACTGTTTTTCGCTCATTTTCAAATGTCGTTGGTTTGTATGTATAACGCACAATGTATAATGTAATCTTGTTAAACCCACTTGTAAAATGGTGTTTGCCGTTTAATAAAAATGAAATGAAATGAAATACATATTTTAATCATATTTTGTAAGAAATTCACTCAAGTTCACTTATAGCTAGTTAAGGCCTACGTAAAATATTCCTCTAACTGTCTTGGGGGCTCTGTCCTGTTTGTTTTTAGCAAATTGAATTAGAAATGCCTATAATAAACCTTTTTGACAGAATTAATAAAGTCTGCTTTTAGTAGCCTAAGCTACTATGGTCTAAGGTACAACCTATGAGCTAGGTCCAAGGTACAACACCTGGGCATTTTGTAAAAACTTGGTTCTAGACTATTCTAGGTTAGGATTAACAAGGTGTGAATCATATGAAACTGTAGCTGAGTTGTTGGTTTATAGCATCAAATTGCCACCTGAGATAAACAATCATTAAATCTAACATAATAAAAGAAAATTAAAAGTTGAATATAGGCTACTTACTTTTTCCTTGTAAAAACTTGTTTTAGTTTTCTTGTCAAAAGGACACATTCAATTCCAACTTGAACACATTAGGATAGACCTCTGGTGGCTAAAGCATAAACTAAGGGTACAAGTTCTTCCCTTTGCTCAACAGATAGTGCCAGAATGAGCATAGGTTCAAGGTACATATAGGTCCAAGGTACAACACCTTCCCCGACATCGGTTTAACCGGACTACTCGGCGGATATGACATCTCTTTAACCGGACATTTTTTATCAGCACATTGGTTTAACCAGACTAGATCGGCAGGAAGTCATGTTCGTAGAAGTCAATGCCTACATTGGTTTGAGCCTAGCTGTGGAGTACTGCAACAATCATGACCTTGTTTTCAACGCCTCAAAAACCAAGCTAGTTTCATTTGGCAACAAAAAAAGTTTTGTCTGCTGTATTCATGACATTGACTCTGTTAGCTCTGTAAGACATCTAGGTGTCATCATTGACGAACATCTCGCTTGGGACGAACACATTGAAGCACTCTGCCATAAGCTAAGCACCGCAATTTTTGCACTGAGAAGAACAATGGCTGTGAGCACAGAAGAGGGGGCACAACAGCATACTATGCCCTTCGTGAGAGTATTCTCTGTTATGGCATTGTGGTGTGGGGTGGATCGTCGGCACAGAACCTTAACAGAGTTCTAATCATGCAAAAGAGGGCTGTTCGAACCCTGACTGGCATTGAGACAACAGATAGTTGCAGACCAGAGTTTAGGAGGTTAAAAATCCTGACCGTAGTCAACCTCTTCATACTACGGACTCTTACCATTGTCGACTCTTCCCGGGCCTGTCGTCATCAGGAGGTGCACTCATACAACACAAGACGAAGAAATGATTACAACCTTCCTGCTCTCAACACAAGGCTCTATGAAGAGAAACGCTCATACATGCGTGCCAAGTTTTTTAACGTCCTTCCCGTCCACTTGAAGTCTCTTCAACCCAGAAAACTGAAGAAAGAACTAAAGTGCTGGCTGTTACATAGACCATTTTATAGTCTGGATGAGTATTTGTCTTGGCAAGAGCTTGAATAAATCATGTCTTCACTGCAAGAACTCTGATCAACTATTTTTTATTCTTAAAAAATAACAATTTGTGTTGACTTTTATATAACAACTGTATTGACGCCCTTTCAATCTTAAAGATTGCAAATAAAGTATTCTTGTATCTTGTATCTTGAAGTGGGCAATACTGAAACGACTGTTCTCGTGGAAAAGATTTGAGACCAGTGATGACGTGGCTAAATACAATGCTCTCCTAAAAATATGTCGAATATCACAGTAAACAGTCCATTTTAAGTAACGAGTCTTTAGGGACGTTGGTATAACCGGAAAACTTGTTATCCGGACTGGCCTCGGTCCCGAGGAGTCCGGATAAGAGGGAGTCTAGGCTTCTGTACGGTAAGTAGTTAGATAATTTGTAAAAGTGAAGAGCAAAATGTACGCTAATAAGTTACGGATTAAAAATACCAATTGAAAATATAGATTAATAGGCCTAATCAATACTGGAAGCCTAACTTATTTTAACTTTATCAATAATAAAATAAAACTGTCATAACCTAACCTAAATAGAGCTAACTTAACCAAACTTAATGATAATGAAAAAATCTAATGAACATTTACCAATCGAATTGTTAGTTTCAATCGATATTAGAGAAGCCCATTTAAGAAACTGTGTAACCACAGTCAGTTAGGCCTAAAATTCACAAGGTTGGATTTTCCTTGTAGTTTAAATTTGAGGTTAAGAAGTAAAAAATTAGTAATAAGCTTTAGGCCCACCTGAAGGTCTTGATTTTCCATGATTTGTACCTTCCAGACTGATTATATCCTACTACTCACTATCTATAGCCTATTTTAACTCGTTTCTATTCTACAGGTTGGCAAAAACGTAATCCTTATCAATCATCACATCACTCGCTATCATTTCATTACCTAACCTATACGATCGTGAAGACAGCTATCGCCGGCTAACGGCGGGCGGAGAATTCCACACCCCCACTACCCTACCTGTGTACAATCTAATACAACAGTAATAGACCTCAACTGTGTTAAAAATGTTAAAACCTTAATTTAAACGATATAACACATGTTGTAACGTTTTCCGGCACATTTTCACAAATGAAATGGGGGGAAATACTTAAATTCATAACATATAAAATAATATATACATAAAATCTTAAGTAAATTTGAGTCTGAAATCCAGCGCTCGGCGTACTAAGAATGTTCGGACAAACATTTACCTATGTTGTGACGGTATTCCCCAAAATTTTATCATTTTAATTTGAAGTATACACTTGAATGTACAACATATTAAAAAATCATTAAAATCTAAACATATATATTTAGGTTAATTTTAGCTTAAAGTCCAGCTAACGAATTAGCGCTCAGCGTACTAAGAATGTTCGGACGAACATTTACCTATGTTAAGACGATATTCCCCAAAATTTTATCATTTTAAATTAAAGTATACACTTGAATGTACAACATATTAAAAAATCATTCAATTCTAAACATATATATTTAGGTTAATTTTAGCCTAAAGTCTAGCTAACGAATTTGTTCTCAGCGTCCTAATAATGTTCGGACAAACATTTACCTGTGTTGTGACGATATTCCCCAAAATTTTATCATTTTAAATTAAAGTATACACTTAAATGTAGCACATATTAAAAAATCATTCAATTCTAAACATATATATTTAGGTTAATTTTAGTTTAAAGTCCAGCTAACGAATTAGCGCTCAGCGTACTAAGAATGTTCGGACGAACATTTACCTATGTTAAGACGATATTCCCCAACATTTTATCATTTTAAATTAAAGTATACACTTGGATGTACAACATATTAAAAAATCATTCAATTCTAAACATATATATTTAGGTTAATTTTAGCCTAAAGTCTAGCTAACGAATTTGTTCTCAGCGTCCTAATAATGTTCGGACAAACATTTACCTATGTTGTGACGATATTCCCCAAAATTTTATCATTTTAAATTAAAGTATACACTTGGATGGACAACATATTAAAAAATCATTCAATTCTAAACATATATATTTAGGTTAATTTTAGCCTAAAGTCTAGCTAACGAACTTGTTCTCAGCGTACTAATAATGTTCGGACGAACATTTACCTATGTTGTGACTGTATTCCCCAAAATTTTATCATTTTAAATTAAAGTATACACTTGGATGTACAACATATTAAAAAATCATTCAATTCTAAACATATATATTTAGGTTAATTTTAGCCTAAAGTCTAGCTAACGAATTTGTTCTCAGCGTCCTAATAGTGTTCGGACAAACATTTACTTGGTTCGTGAAGACAGCTATCGCCGGCTAACGGCGGGCGGAGAATTCCACACCCCCACTACCCTACCTGTGTACAATCTAATACAACAGTAATAGACCTCAACTGTGTTAAAAATGTTAAAACCTTAATTTAAACGATATAACACATGTTGTAACGTTTTCCGGCACATTTTCACAAATGAAATGGGGGGAAATACTTAAATTCATAACATATAAAATAATATATACATAAAATCTTAAGTAAATTTGAGTCTGAAATCCAGCGCTCGGCGTACTAAGAATGTTCGGACAAACATTTACCTATGTTGTGACGGTATTCCCCAAAATTTTATCATTTTAATTTGAAGTATACACTTGAATGTACAACATATTAAAAAATCATTAAAATCTAAACATATATATTTAGGTTAATTTTAGCTTAAAGTCCAGCTAACGAATTAGCGCTCAGCGTACTAAGAATGTTCGGACGAACATTTACCTATGTTAAGACGATATTCCCCAAAATTTTATCATTTTAAATTAAAGTATACACTTGAATGTACAACATATTAAAAAATCATTCAATTCTAAACATATATATTTAGGTTAATTTTAGCCTAAAGTCTAGCTAACGAATTTGTTCTCAGCGTCCTAATAATGTTCGGACAAACATTTACCTGTGTTGTGACGATATTCCCCAAAATTTTATCATTTTAAATTAAAGTATACACTTAAATGTAGCACATATTAAAAAATCATTCAATTCTAAACATATATATTTAGGTTAATTTTAGTTTAAAGTCCAGCTAACGAATTAGCGCTCAGCGTACTAAGAATGTTCGGACGAACATTTACCTATGTTAAGACGATATTCCCCAACATTTTATCATTTTAAATTAAAGTATACACTTGGATGTACAACATATTAAAAAATCATTCAATTCTAAACATATATATTTAGGTTAATTTTAGCCTAAAGTCTAGCTAACGAATTTGTTCTCAGCGTCCTAATAATGTTCGGACAAACATTTACCTATGTTGTGACGATATTCCCCAACATTTTATCATTTTAAATTAAAGTATACACTTGGATGTACAACATATTAAAAAATCATTCAATTCTAAACATATATATTTAGGTTAATTTTAGCCTAAAGTCTAGCTAACGAATTTGTTCTCAGCGTCCTAATAATGTTCGGACGAACATTTACCTATGTTGTGACGGTATTCCCCAAAATTTTATCATGTTAAATTAAAGTATACACTTGGATGTACAACATATTAAAAAATCATTCAATTCTAAACATATATATTTAGGTTAATTTTAGCCTAAAGTCTAGCTAACGAATTTGTTCTCAGCGTCCTAATAATGTTCGGACAAACATTTACCTATGTTGTGACGATATTCCCCAAAATTTTATCATTTTAAATTAAAGTATACACTCAGATATACAACATATTAAAAAATCATTCAATTCTAAACATATATATTTAGGTTAATTTTAGCCTAAAGTCTAGCTAACGAATTTGTTCTCAGCGTCCTAATAATGTTCGGACAAACATTTACCTATGTTGTGACGGTATTCCCCAAAATTTTATCATTTTAAATTAAAGTATACACTTAAATGTAGCACATATTAAAAAATCATTAAAATCTAAACATATATATTTAGGTTAATTTTAGCTTAAAGTCCAGCTAACGAATTAGCGCTCAGCGTACTAAGAATGTTCGGACGAACATTTACCTATGTTAAGACGATATTCCCAAAAATTTATCATTTTAAATTAAAGTATACACTTAAATGTAGCACATATTAAAAAATCATTCAATTCTAAACATATATATTTAGGTTAATTTTAGCTTAAAGTCCAGCTAACGAATTAGCGCTCAGCGTACTAAGAATGTTCGGGCGAACATTTACCTATGTTAAGACGATATTCCCCAACATTTTATCATTTTAAATTAAAGAATACACTTGGATGTACAACATATTAAAAAATCATTCAATTCTAAACATATATATTTAGGTTAATTTTAGCCTAAAATCTAGCTAACGAATTTGTTCTCAGCGTCCTAATAATGTTCGGACAAACATTTACCTATGTTGTGACGATATTCCCCAACATTTTATCATTTTAAATTAAAGTATACACTTGGATGTACAACATATTAAAAAATCATTCAATTCTAAACATATATATTTAGGTTAATTTTAGCCTAAAGTCTAGCTAACGAATTTGTTCTCAGCGTCCTAATAATGTTCGGACGAACATTTACCTATGTTGTGACGGTATTCCCCAAAATTTTATCATTTTAAATTAAAGTATACACTTGGATGTACAACATATTAAAAAATCATTCAATTCTAAACATATATATTTAGGTTAATTTTAGCCTAAAGTTTAGCTAACGAATTTGTTCTCAGCGTCCTAATAATGTTCGGACAAACATTTACCTATGTTGTGACGATATTCCCCAAAATTTTATCATTTTAAATTAAAGAATACACTCAGATATACAACATATTAAAAAATCATTCAATTCTAAACATATATATTTAGGTTAATTTTAGCCTAAAGTCTAGCTAACGAATTTGTTCTCAGCGTCCTAATAATGTTCGGACAAACATTTACCTATGCTGTGACGGTATTCCCCAAAATTTTATCATTTTAAATTAAAGTATACACTTAAATGTAGCACATATTAAAAAATCATTCAATTCTAAACATATATATTTAGGTTAATTTTAGCCTAAAGTCTAGCTAACGAATTTGTTCTCAGCGTCATAATAATGTTCGGACAAACATTTACCTATGTTGTGACGGTATTCCCCAAAATTTTATCATTTTAAATTAAAGTATACACTTAAATGTAGCACATATTAAAAAATCATTCAATTCTAAACATATATATTTAGGTTAATTTTAGCTTAAAATCCAGCTAACAAGTTCGTTAGCTAGACTTTAGGCTAAAATTAACCTAAATATATATGTTTAGAATTGAATGATTTTTTAATATGTTGTACATCCAAGTGTATACTTTAATTTAAAATGATAAAAGTTTGGTGAATATCGTCACAACATAGGTAAATTTTTGTCCGAACATTATTAGGACACTGAGAACAAGTTCGTTAGCTAGACTTTAGGCTAAAATTAACCTAAATATATATGTTTAGATTTTAATGATTTTTTAATATGTTGTACATTCAAGTGTATACTTTAATTTAAAATGATAAAATTTTGGGGAATATCGTCACAACATTGGTAAATGTTTGTCCGAACATTCTTAGTACGCTGAGCGCTAATTCGTTAGCTGGACTTTAAGCTAAAATTAACCTAAATATATATGTCTAGATTTTAATGATTTTTTAATATGTTGTACATCCAAGTGTATACTTTAATTTAAAATGATAAAATTTTGGGGAATACCGTCACAACATAGGTAAATGTTCGTCCGAACATTATTAGTACGCTGAGAACAAGTTCGTTAGCTAGACTTTAGGCTAAAATTAACCTAAATATATATGTCTAGATTTTAATGATTTTTTAATATGTTGTACATTCAAGTGTATACTTTAATTTAAAATGATAAAATTTTGGGGAATATCGTCACAACATAGGTAAATGTTCGTCCGAACATTATT